GAAAATTGATGAAAATACTTCAAATTGGAAATACAAACAACTTAATCCGTTGACAAAGATATTTCCATAAAAAATGTCTCTCTTCTTCAGCCACGTCCACTATAGAACAATCCTGGTTTTTACAAATACTATCAGCATCTTGAATAATTATCCAATTTACTTGGACAAAGTATATAATAAAAAAAAAAAAAAAATGTTATCCATAGAAATTTACTTCCCTTATGGAGGTACAAGGCCTCCAGTCACAATCTAGCTATGAGTTGTCTGCGAGATCGACAACCATACTGCTCTATAAATGTTCTTGGTTATACCATAAGCGAAACTGAGTTTATCAAGGGAGGTTAATCTGTAATTTTTAATTATTGCCCTTACATCAACAATTCGCAATATTCCTGTATAGGTCTCTCCTCAGCTAGAAGTTTTACCTTAAAAGTTCGGAGTGCTTATCATACATGATAACTCAGTATTAACCCTCCCCCAATCTCCTCCATCGTCATATTTGGGATAGTATGACCAAGATTAAGTTATACTTTGGTCCCAATATTGACCAATGTGTAACAAAGTTTTAATCACTAACCAAATACTACATTTTTTAAATTATTCATATTGATATATTAACCCTAAAACACTAACCATCAATTAAAGTTACACCACTACTAACCATGGGTGTATCATACCCGATTTTGAAAATATAAAAAAAAATATTAAATATAAATCTTTATTTGAATATTTTACATGCAGGGCATTTCAAACTTTGTACTTAACGTTAATAGGAACTGAAAAACATTATTTAGGTAAGAAAATCAGGTACTGAAAATTGTAAATAAAAATAGGTGTTCTAGAGTTAAGCATATTTTAGGTGGTCATTCAAAAAAGTACATAAGGGTTAAGGGATGGGTTGGTCATGATAGCAGATAGAGCATAAAGAAAATTTAAGGGGAAGTTGGCTGAAAACCATTACATAACTTAAAATTAAAAAAAATTATATCATCAATGTTGAGATTGATAAAGATCATACAGACGTACTTGATGTGCAGCAAATTGCAAGCACTCTGGTTATAGAGAATCGCAAAACAATTTGCCATGACAAGTCAAATGAAGAATATAATGAGAAGTGAAGTATTTCTACTTTTACAAACTTTTATTTAATGTTTTTGAAGACATTAAATTTTATCGCTATTTTTTGTTTCGTTCTTTTCTGAAGTTTCTTTAAACTCAAGATTTTGTGTAAATTTTTTTTCATTTAAACTAAAAGACAAACTACTACTTAATTAGAAAACTGTTACTCTAAATGTGGACTAATTAAAAATCAAATTGGGAAATATTTTTTAAATTAAAGTAACACAGATTGCTTTTAGGGCAAATTTGGATTTCATCGAGGCTATATTTGAGCAAAAAACTCTGTTTTTTTTTTTTTTTCTTTTCTTAGGTCCCAGTGCCCATGTAATACAAAAATTCAAAGTTTATATGATGTAATGTTTTTCTGTTCATGACTAAAGTTTTTTTGCAGTTCATATAATTCCATTATGATTTTTTTACTTGTTTTTCCTCCTTAAATCTGAACGTGGTGATTCTTATGAAAACGGCAATCTTTAATCTTCATGCCCATAAAAGAAAAAAACAGTATATCAAAATGACAGTTTTTCCCTTGACACTGCTATTATTTTAACTACCTTCACTTCTCAGCAATGTTGATTGTTTTAAAAAGCAATGATTAGAAGTGTAATAAAATCTAAACATATGATGAAAGTGAATTTATATATTTTTTTTACTTGAAAATTTACAACAGAATATTAGACATGATTTATTAATTAAATTGTTTGTTTATAAGAATAATTTTATATTTACAATATTCTAAAACCCAATAAAATTGTATTAAAACTAATGCAATACAATATTTATCATTTACCAATTTATAAAGAAATAAACATGAGAACAATTTTTTATTCATAAATTTATAAACATTTAATAAATTATTAAAATATTTGAACCAACTACAAGGAAATCCTTATTATTTATCATTTTATAAAATTTGAATCAATTGGTAATTAGCTAATGTTTTGCCAATCATTCCAGTCAGTTCAGTTATGTGCCATGCAGTTGACCAGTTGCCATCCAAGGCTATAGAACCCAGTCTGTCCTGCTATTTACTTATAGATGGGGGTAGAAGAAGAGGATTCATACTTTTCCCAGGGGTAAGTGAAAGTAATGGATTTGACTGGTATTCAAACTCAGCTCTCCAATTCCTCAATCCAAACTGCTATCTATTACTCCACCATTCCTAAGCAGTCTATTAAATAGTGTTTATTATTTTTCTTATCAATTCTCAAGAACAAAAAATATGTATAAATTAGTTTTCATATATTTAGTTCTTATTAAAATTTTAATCTTCTTTTTTTTCTTTTTTTTTTTTTTTTTTTTAAACAATAAATGTTATCAAGAAGTGACGATAGCTAAAATAATAGTGGCATCAAGAGAAAAACTGTCAGACACTATCTTGTCCTGTTAGAACTTCAATAATTTATGTCGTCTTGCCTAACCATTGTCTCATGAAATCTCAGAGCATACTTGATATAAAGTATAGTAGTGCCATTTACCATTATCTTCATATATTGCTATCTCATGACATTTGGTACATCAGAGTAGATGCAACAAAATCTTTCATTTCCCATTCGCATTGACACAAAGCGATTCTTATGGATCACCTTGCCCTGACCCAATTAAGCTTTGTCCTTAGATTTAGTAAATAACAATACAGGGAGGTGCTCGACTTATGTTGGAGATCTGTTCCTATGGCACGATATAATCTGATATTCGACATAGGTTGTAACTCCCCTACATAAGCACTCATGAGTCTGCCTTATGCTTAGGAGCCATAATGAAGGGCAAAAAGTTGCCCCCAAAAATAACACAAATAAGAGATAGTGAATGTAGCACAATCCAATATGGCATACAGCCGGTGAAGAAAGAACACTGTCTTCCTCATATAGTACCATGTGACAACGTATTATATTATGGGAGATGGCACCATAACCACAAAACACTGACATTACCCAAGGACTTTCTGTATTGGTAAAAGAACTTGCCAAGCAGTAGGGTATTTTCCCAATGATGGTTGATATCTAACTCCAAGGAGATAAAAACTATGATTTTCAGAGTAGATAGACTCTCCCTACTTAGAAGAGTGTTACATTTGCTCATGAAAGTCAGTTAGATAGGAAAAGACTATAAAATGTTGCAAAGAGAATGTAAATAATAGTTTTACTGACATGTTCCCAGAAAAGACTTGTCAATTTGTTTTATTGACTGTAGATGTGGTTTTTGTAATCTCAAATTAAAACTCATTGATCCTTTGCTATTGAATTTCTCTCATGGATAAACAGTGTTAATCTGTTGATAAATTTTGGTTTGAATATATTTTTTTTAACCATTTCACCTCAAGCAAGACAATAAAGCCACTAAGATGTAAGGGGTTAGAGAATATGAGAAAAAATTAAGGATTGAGAACAATAAAAGAATAGGAAGACAGAAGATAATGATCGACATTGCATTTAAATTCTTGAAGATCAAAGTTGACTGGAAACTAAGAAACTTGAAGAGAGTGCCACAAAGGAGAAGTGTGAGAAAAGAAACTTTTAGAATAAAACTTCTGGTTACATCTAGCAATTTCAACTGTAAAATGATGAGATCTTGCTATTAATTAATTAGTTAATTGGTTGATGTTTTTAACCAGAAATGCCTTTCAGTGATTTATTTATATAAAGGATTATTATGTTTAATCAAGACTTATTTTTATTTTCAGTGATGTGCTGGAATAAATTCTCATTTTCACCATTATTATAAAAAACATCTTCACTGTATCATTATTTTTAGTTTTATTATTATTTTCATCACTATATGATTCTATTCCCCAAAATTTAGGTCATCTTTTGATCTGTGTTTAGGAAATAATAAACTTGATTATCCAAAAATGAATATTGCTGCCTCATCTGGAATGGGGCTACCCAATCTTCACTTTCCAGCCTTGACAAAGTCATTCTGCCATGCTTCATCTTTGCAAGAGTCAAATGAGACCAAAAATGAAATATTGCTGCTACATCTGGGCTGGAGCTACCTAATCTTCACTTTACCTGACCTTTGAGTAATGACATTTTTCACTATGCAGCCTCTTCCCCACAGACACAACATTGCAAGCTCTGTCACTATTTCCATGGCAAATGTTTGGATAAACTCCATTTTTTAGTTCCACAGGAAAATGAAATAAAACCAATAAATAAAATAATAATAAAGAATAAAACCAAGAAAAAAAAGATTAATTTTCCCAAGATACAAATAGAAATTGGAAAAGTCTTTTTTGTCACCTGTGCAATTTTATGACCCCACTTCTGGAAAGAACAGAAGCTTCTTTTTACATTGTTTGGATATGTTTTGGCCGCCTAACTCATGAAGTAAGTGATTTGGTCGTTCCAACTCAGTGCAAGGCTGACTTAAGCTTAAATGTTTTAACCTTGTTATCCTAACTCACTTTAGAACCAAAAAAGAAAATGGACACACCTAAGAGACATTGAGAACTTTATTTCACTACAGTCACCATAAAATAAAAGTCTATAGTAGAAACCCAAGTTTTTGCATGCTTCTATCTTCTTTGTTTATATATACTGAACATATGCTTTCTCCTAAAATGCACACAAACATGCAACCCTTTAACTTCCACACTTCAACCAATTCAATCTTTTATTACTAAGACCTACCTTGTTATGTCCACAGGATTGAATCTCTCCATATTCCATTGGTAAGAAGGAAGTTTCACTCAGATGGCTTCTTCTTTGTGGAATAGATTCCCACTTGGATGCTTCCCCAAACACTACAATCTTAACCATTTCAAGTCAAGGGTCAATCAGTAACCCTCTAACTTGAAAGGCTCTTGAGCCTTGTATTGGATTAAGAAAAAAAACAAGAAAAAAGACATATTTAAAAATAAATAGAAACATTCTATTTATTTACAGATCAGCAAGAAATCGATCCATTTCTTTTTGCATTGTTTCACTTAGCAAATACCTGACGAGTGCTCGAACTGGGGCATCTTCTGGTGGTGCATCTTGATCAGTTGTATTATCTCCTGGATTCTTGGAATTGTTAATAATATTTTGGAGTGTGTGATCCAGTAGCTTGTCGATATTGTCGATGTAATTATAATACTTACTGAACATTTGGTAGGCTCTTCGAGAAGTATAACTTTGTTCAGGTAGAAACATTGCTGGCGGAAGGTAACTAAATTCAAAATCCTGAGAGAAAAAAAAATAGCTTGGCGTGAAGATGGGAATTTTGCTGTAAAAATAAATTGTCCCAAATTAAATTAGCTTACAACAACAACAACAAAAGTCCCATAACTCATTAGGTTTATTGGAGTACTAAGTACTGTAGGTAAGGCAGCAGTGGTGTGTCTTGGGCAAGACAGCCTGATGGAGCCCAGCCCACTCCAGATTGGTTTGAATTCAGAGTTTTCCTTCTTCCAAAATAATTGCCATTCAAGGCTATCGGACCCAGTCTAGCCTGATATTTACCTATAACAGAGAGGAGAAGAGATGGATTCATACCTTTCCCACGTTTATTAGCACATAAGTGAATGTAATGAACTTGACTGGAAATTGAACTCAGCTCTCCTATTCCTCAATCTTAGCCACTATCCATTACTCCATCATACCTCCTTAAGGCATTTTAAAAACAAAAATACCCTGCAAAATCCTGATTAATTCTGTTTCTTTACTAACTGAAGCTTAATCAAGTATAAGACCACAAGTATGGAGCACCCAGTGAGGTTCAAACTAATTGCAGTAGCTTACTGTATTTTCTTGTGTATAATACATCTTTAGTATAATATGTCCCAATGTTTCTCAAGCTAAAAACAGAGAATAAATTACATGCTTGAGTATAATGTAACCGTGTAGTACAGCCAACATGATGTGAATATTTTTAAAAAGTTGTCCCATATTATCCATTCAAATCTCAATGTCATACATATATTTCACTAAAATATTTAATTTTTCATGATTTTAAAGAATAGAAATAAACCGGATGTTTAGCCATTGCATGTTTTTTTCTCCTAATTTCTGTTTCAAAACTTATTTTCAAATTTTCAGGGAAAGATGCTAACTTGACATACCTAGTAATACATTTTAATCTATCATACTTTTTTGTTTCATATGACTTTATTATATTTCTATATATTAATAAACTATGAAAATGAAAGAAAATATTTTTTTATTATGACTAAAGTGAGAAAACTTCATAAAAAAACAAAAAAAATCAAAATATAAACAAACTTTATCTTGTGAGCAAAATTGCAATCTTGCTGTTTCAAATAAGGGATTTGTTTAAGTTGAGTAAAAATTTCTGAAAATGTGAACTTTGGTATAATACAACCTCCCCTTTTTGCCTTTAATCTTCATTCAAAATTTCTCACATTATGTGTAAGAAAATACAGTACTTGTGTTTCATGAGGAGGGTTTCTAAGTATTTGCAAAGTTTAGATTAATCAGACACAAGACCAGTAAAGATTGTGCTTATGGTAGCAGTAATGGTACAAAATAGTTTAGTAATTGTTCCTACATCGTAAAGTGTTGAATTATTAATATTTAACTAGTTTTACTTCATATTATTAGAATTAATTGCTTTTTATCAAACAGATTTGGTTGATACAACTCTTCATTATTAGGATTAATTTATTACTAGTTTTATTCTATAACAAGGTGGTAACCCTGGTTCAAGATTTTACTGCATGAGGGATATAACAGGGTGGTAACCATGGTTCAACATTTTATTGCATGAGGGATATAACAGAGTGGTAACCATGGTTCAGTCTTTCACTGCATGAGGGATACAAGAAGGTGGTAACCATGGTTCAAAGTTTTAATGCATGATGATTATAACAGGGTGGTAACCATGGTTCAACATTTTACTACATGTTGGATATAACAGGGTGGTAACCATGGTTCAATGTTTTATTGCATGAGGAATATAACAGAGTGGTAACCATGGCTCAACATTGTACTGCACGAGGGATATAACAGGGTGGTAACCATGGTTCAATGATTTACTATATTGGGGATATAATAGGGTGGTAACTATGGTCCAACACTTTACTGCATGATTGATAAAATTTGGGCTAACCATCATTTCAATGTTTTACTGCATGGGGGATGTAACTGGGTGGTAACCATGGTTGAATATTTCACTGCACAAGGTATATTACAGGATAGTAACTATGTTTCAAATGTTCCCTGCATGAGAATGCCTAATGACAAGTTGAACCAGGAAATAATTAAGATCAAACTGAAAAAAATTCAGAGAATCTAATTAAGTCTCAAAGAAAAAAATTAAAGAAAGGACAGATTAAAAATAATAATTAGAAGCCATAAAATGAGTTTGGAGAAGGTTCTAGAAAGATTTGGACCTGAAATAAAGCAGAATTCATTAAGATTTATTAAGTCTAGATCTTCTCCAACTTACCCAGTTGTCTCCAGGAAAGTCTAACAATTTAAGCTCTTCTAAAATTTCCCAAATTCCAAAGAAGAATTCTCACAATGTTCAATTAAAATACCAACAGAACCTAAAAATATTTATATCTTACCAAATTCAATGTTAGGGACTTTTGAATGGATGCATTCTACCATCTGTTCTTTAGACAAAGAAATGTCATGAATATATTATCAAAAAATGTAATAAATCAATGCCAAAGCACACAAATGTTCTTATATAAATCAGCCAATACAATGACACAAACACAGAGATACAGAGAGCACCCAGGAGACAATCTTCTTCTGATTACTGTTACTGCTTTGAGGTCTTTCCATTTATTTCTAATTACTGCTAGAAAAATTATCATGCTAAGAGAACATCAAGTAGGCTGCATAGAAAGATTAATAATTCTTTACATCTTATATACTTTTAAATTCTTCAATTTGTCATCATTAAACCAATTGTTAGATATCAACAGAGTTTGTTGGTTTGCAATTTTAAATTTGTTTTCAGCAAAGAAGTTACCACAGCTGTGAAGATTTCACACCTGCAATCTCCACAGAATTATAAGCACTGGGTGAAATCTGCGTAGAATCTGGTTACCTCCCAGCTTGGTGATGTCAACAAGTGATGGCCATGAATATCAAAAACATTATCAAGTAACGAGGCCAATAATACTATGTTTGTGGTAGTGCTGGGACACAAAATGACAGGTTGACTAAATGAAACAAAACCGAGCAACAACAGCGACAATGTAGGCAGCAGGGTTATAATTATATTATATTATTATATGATAATATTATTGTTCACAATTTACATTATTCAGACTATTGTCCTCATCTTTGTTGCCATATTTATTACAATGTTTTGGACGTTGTACACTCTGGCCTTCTTCAGGTGGTTGGAATGTTGAACTGAACCCTTTATTTTGCTCACTGTGGTAGACTGCTCTAGTTTCGCATGCCATATTTAATGGATGTCAGTTATCCATTATCTCCTGTTAATTCCCCTCTCCAAGTTCTCCACTGCCTTAACCGGGTATTGAACTCACACTCTTTGGGTCCTGTCACTGGATTTAACTAATGCCTTTATCCACTGGGCCATGTCTCCTTGAGGACATACTCATCTGTGCATGAATTTCTGAGTATCATAAACCTAATGTCTTCAGCAACCATTTTTTTACCAGTGCTTATATTGCAATTTTTGCTGTTATTATTGCATGTTTTTTTACCAGAGCTCATATTGCAATTTTTGTTGCTAATATTGCTTTTCTCTGGCACTCCTTATTACTGGTTCCCATATTGTATTCATTTCTATGCTTGGTCAGCTCAACAGATTTTTGTGGCCTAGCATATGTGCTGATTCCTTAGGTTTACGAATTTTCCAAAGGTGTTCTTTGTCTATGATCTCAACCTGATCCCACAGAGGGCAGTGATCTCTCTTTTCTCTCCACATGTGTTCAGTCATGCCTCATTTTTCCACTTCCTCTCGTGTTACAGCTTTCTGGTGTTCTCTGTTTTCTTTGTTTCTGGTATTTTCTGTTTTCTTTGTCACCATATTTATTACAACGTAATAAATATGGCGGCAAAGATGAGGACAATAGTCTGAATAATGTAAATAGTGTACATAATACCTCATCTCAGAAATATAGACAAATATTATTGTTAATTTATACTTTTAATATTATTGTTACTTTTTATATCAGCACTCTAGACCAATACACACTTCATGGTGTTCTCCTTCTATATGCTATTTCTTTTCTGTTGGGGCGCACCCACCTTCTGACTGATAATGGACTTATCCCTCTACGATATAAGTCAGTGCTAGAGAGAGTAGTTGTGTAGTGTGAAGGATCAGGTTACCATTACATACCGTTGGACTGTAGACTTTTGCTATTGTTACTTACTAACCAGCGTTCCCTATTACTAATAACTGTTGTTAATTACCTCTTACAAATATACCAGTATTTATCCCTATAACTGTGTTTGTCTTTATTCGAATACACACACGCGGGGAACACTCCCAACAACTCAACAGTGACGACGAGGCTTCGAACGGGATAAAAAGAACCTACGTTGAAAAAATAAATATCGCAACAGCGAAAGAAACGATTTTTCAACTTGGAAAAATTCAAAAGAGTTCAAGCATTTTTTCACAGCAAAGGATTGAAAAGTTATCGACAAAAAAAAGAAAAAAACTAAGTTAGACATTAACTTATTGATTAAATTGGAATCTTTAATAACAATTTATTGTGCTAAAAAAAAAAATTGTCGTGCCAGAGAATTTGATTAATTTTTTGCCCCCCCTCAGAGAGAAAAAAAAATACACACATAATTTTGCTTTCTTTTTTCTCTACACTTACATAAGCATGGAGCAATTTCGATCATCTATGCTGGACAACAAGAGAGTGAAGAACGTTTTCAGAAAATACAAGAAGAAAATGAAAAGAAACAGTTAGCAATGACTGAACTTATACATAAAGCTATACTGTCTAAGCAGAAAGACTCGGATGAAAGTACTTTTTCTCAAGACACAATATGGTCGACGATCGAAAGTTTTACCTATAACCCAGAAGAGGAAAAGACTTTCGAAAGATATTATCATAGATATCAGGACTTTTATGAAGTCGATTGCCAAACATGGACAGACGAGAAAAAGATAAGATTATTACTACGAAAACTGGGAACGACAGAACATAATAAATTTACGGACTTTATATTACCCAAAAAGACAAGAGATTTAAAATTCGACGAAGCGATTGAATTAC